GCACGGTTGGGAACTCGTCCGAGGAAGGTGGGGTCTCTCCCAGTTATTCGATAGCGAAGGGAACGAAAGATTTAAATCTAATCATCCCGGTGTAATTAAAAAAAAAAAAAAAAAAAAAAAAAAAAAAAAAAAAAAAAAAAAACACCAAAAAAAACCAAACCCGGCGAGACATGCGCTGGGAAGAGGCGGAATCGAAACGGGGAGAAATCCCCCCCATGGAGAGCTCAGCCCCTCGTTTCCACCGCTGTTCTCCAACAGAAATACCTGTCAGCCCCGCACACAACGTGTGGGCAGCCCCTCGCAATTAGGAGGGGCTATATATACGTTTTAATTTCCAGCTTATTGTCGAGCCCGCGCCTGGCAAAAAGCCTCTTGAAACTGCAAATGTGCTTTTGGTTTGCGAGTTTAAATACGGCTTGAAAGAGAATTTGGGAACGGGAAAATTCTTCTTGAATGTGGTTTGGGGTATAATTTGCAGTGATGTAAAAGTTAAGATCTGAGCCCTGATGAATTGGCTGGGAGCCCAGTACCTGATCTGCCATGAAAAGGGAAACTCCGTGTCGCCTTCCTTAACGGGCCCAGGCTCCCGGCGGGAAAGCCAACCCGGGCACCGGCGAGAGGGGTCGCTCAGGGAATTCAAGGAAAAGTCCCAACCTTCTCATTCATTTCACCTCGGAGACCATAAAACACCCGCGGGGGAGGAAGCGGGCGGGGACTCATCACGACCCCCGGTTACCCCCGGTCCCTGCCCGCCCCACCGGGGCACCCCGGCTACCCCCGCGTTTTGGGAAGGGCAGAGCGGAGCAGGGCTCCTCAGGGCTGACACAGCCCGAAATTCCGGATAGATCCACTCCCTTCTTCTCCCCCTCCTTGCCGCTCCCGGTAGTTGATCTTCGCTCGAAAAAAAAAAATATAATTAAATAAGGGACAGTCTCAACAATACTAATACTTACTGCGTAACTAGCATTCATCTAAATTAACGTTACAAATATAAACCCACCCCTTCGGTGCGTTTTCTGCCGTGTGGCGTTCCCCAGCCCGGGTTGGACGCGGGACGACTTTGCTGCTTCTCTCCGAAGATTTCGGTAACGGGGATAACGATTATGACAACCTCGAGCGGCCCGAGGAAACGGGCGGATCTCGGGCTGGCTCTTCGGAGCGCCGAGTTTCACCCCAAACCGCTCCTTGGGTTTGAAGGAAAAACGGGAGAGAGGACGAGCCTCCCCAAAACGCGTGTGCTCCTCACACGGGGCGGGGAGGGGGGGGAGAGGGACAAACCAGGGTGTCCCCACGCTGCTGCCGCTCTTTGTGTGCCGGGAAGAGGCGGCTTGGCTGGAACAAAGGGTCCCCAAACCAGCCCCGTCCCTCCCCGGTTCGCGGAGGCTCCCGAGGTGCCGCTTTCCCTCCCCGCCCTCCGCTGCTTTTCCCACCCTCTGGGCCGCGCTGGGAGCCAGCCAGCGCCGGTTTAGGATTATGTATTCATCTGGAATTATTAGGTTACAAGAGTGAATAAATAGCGTTTTATCTGATGGGATTCAAAGCCGCTTATTTGAGAAACAACCGGCAGCCCTGCCCCTCCCGGGGAGAGGAGCGGGAGCCGGCAGCTGCGGGAACCGGCTGGGAGTTTTCCAGCGGGGAATCGGTGCTGCCTCAACCCGGGGAGCTCGGGGACCCGCTCTCCCGGGGACACCCTTGCTCTCTCTCGGACGTGTCACCGACATGCCGTGCCGTGCCATGCCGTGCCGTGCCACCCAGCCACCCGACGTTCAACCTGCCCCAGGCTGGACCTTCAAAGGGGCAGCGCACCCCCTGAGCAAGCCCTCTGACACCCGCAGGACCGGAGCTGCTTTCCCCCCCTCTCCCGCCTCCCCCGCCGCCTGACAGGGGGTCTGCAGACCCTTCATGAACCGTTTTCAGCAGCGTCCCCCCCCCCAGGGCTTTCAGCCTCTCCCCGCTTCCCTTCTTCCCTCCCCGTCTAACCCCCACTCGGGGATGTCACCCCTCGCCGCAGCCCCCCCACCTGCGTGGCGGCTCCCGGGAGGGCCACGCTGTCACCTCCGTGTCCGGGCAGTGCCACCCTGCTCCCGCACCCCGCCAGCAATGTGGGTGCACCCAAGGAGGGGGCACCGGTCAGGAATAGGATGGGAAGGGGGGTGTGGGGGGGTGTCTGCTCCGTGGGGGACAGCGGGACACCTTCCACCCCATCGCGACAGTGGGGTCCCAAACAGAGCAAGCATCTCCTTTTGAAACCAAGCCCTGAACACCCTCTTTCCCGTCCCCAAGGAGAGAGATGGCTTAAAAGCGGAGCTGTACCCAGGCCCGGCTCTGCCCACACCCCAAAGCCGGGGGTAGGGGCAGGGGCAGGCGCTATTCTGGTTTCCCCGACGGTCGCTGGAGCCGTCGGAAGAAGATGGAAGGCAGCTCGACGAGGCCAGGAGACCCGTCTGCGCCGTGTCGGATGCCCGGGCATCTGATAGATGTTGGGCGCAGGGAAAGCCAAAGGCTAGAAGGAGGAGGAGAAGGAGGAAGGGGACCCGCGCTTTTTTGCCCGAGGGATGCACATCTCCTTCAGCCTGAAGCCCCCAGTCCTGGCCGGGACCCCCTTGAAGAAGGGACAGTAGTCCCAGAGCTCTCCTAAGTTGCCAGACCCTCCTCTCGCCACCCATCCGCACCTCAGCCCCGGCCCACAACCGTGTGAAGGGCGGAAAAGCCCCTCCCCAGACCTACAAGCGACCCACGGGCCAAATCCTTGCGGCGCTGCCGAGACCTCCAGCTCCCGTGGGCAGCTGCCACCGGACCCCGCTTCTCTTTTCTCTCAGCTGATGGAGAGAGCGGCTGTTGTCGTCACCTGGGGCTGTGGCGACATTTTTTTCGGGCTGTGTAGTAGGTGTTTTTTTTGCAAACTCCCCCCGGGATGCCCCACACCGAGAAGGTGCTCCCCAAGGAGCAGCCGCCCCCGCGGGGGAACGGCGGAGCCCGCTTCGGGAGGCGGGGGCAGGGATGCGGCCGGCCTGGATCTGAATTCCCCGGGATGCCTGGAAGGACTTGACCCTATATTTTCGCACCAGCCCCAGCTCCGCAGCCGCGGACACGCGTGGGTGCGGGAGGGATGCTTTCGGCCGTGGGCTCCTGTGGCCTGGAGAGGACTCTCTCCATCTCCCTGTTGGTGTCCGGGGGGAACAGGCAGCGGCGCAGGGCGACTTTCGAGGACGCTAATCCGCACTGATTAACCGCACGTTAATCCGCACTGATTTTTACATTGCCGTGGCGCGTCTGAAGGTCTTGGTTTGCATAAATCATCCCGTTGTCCCCCGCCCCCCCAGGAGGCTCCCCCAGACCTGTCAGGTAGAGCCGAGGTTGTGAAATACACTGATTAGGAACCGCAATGACCTTTGATATCGATAAATTAACAGAGGGCTGTATATTTCTTTACTCTCCGTTTCTACCCCCGGAGCGGGCTGAGCTCGGAAAATCGGCGAGGGGCTGCTGAACAGAGGCTCCAGTGACACTTTTACTATTGAAATCTACACAAGCTTTACTAGCTTCTGGGGAAACCCAGGGGCTTTGGGAATTTTTGTATTTGCTGGGTTGTAAACATTTTATTGGAAAGCAGCTCAGGGGAATCTGGTTTGCTTTCCGCGCTGCACTTCGTACACCAATGTGTCAAAAAAGAAGTCCAGGTTTTTCTCTTGGAGGAGAACATATATGTGTGTATGTATCTATGTGTGCGTAATGTACATGAGCACACACACACAGACATTGCCAGCCCCACACTGCTGGCGAGGCGGATGGGCAGGGGGTGTGCGTGGAGCTGGGGCTGCCTCTGGAGTGGGAGAGCAGCCCTCTGTCTGGGGCGGGTCCTTCCATACCTACTCTCATTTTCCTCCTCTTTTTCTTCTTCTTCTTCTTCTTCTTCTTCTTCTTCTTCTTCTTCTTCTTCTTCTTCTTCTTCTTCTTCTTCTTCTTCTTCTTC